ATTTGGGTTTGTTTTGTGTTTGGGCCTATATAGTTTGGGTTTGTGTTTGGGCTTTGTTTGACATTTTCCTTGTATGTTTGTGAAAATGTGTTTGGTTTTCTGTTTGTGATTAGGAGAAGAGTTCTATAAATACTCTTCATCTCCCTAATCTGTAGAAAAGGTCAGTCAAGTTAGTTTGTTTGGTTTGTCCGTCTGAAATTTGGTTTGTAACCTGTACTCTTCTCAAATCAGTGAAATTTGTTCTCCCCTGCCCGTGGATTAGCTAGCACACATTGTGTTAGTGAACCACGTTAAATTTGTGTTCGTTCGTGTTGGTTTGGATTATCGATTGCACGCTTCTGTTCTGACAAGTGGTATCAAAGCCTGGTTGATCTTTGGGTTATTTGAAACTGTCTTGGCGGATTTTGGATCGCGCTCCTGGTTGATCGGATGCGCAATCGACGAGGTTCGTGGTAGAATTACATCAGGTTCTTCAATTCAATTTGTGGATTTTGTCTTAAATTGAAGAAATCTTGTGGTTTGGGGAGAATTCTGTTTGTTGCCCTTGGTGGTGATCAGGGTTTTCGATCACCAAGGATGTTTGTTCTGGATTTGAAGATTGAGAAGTCGATTGGAGTTGCAGTTTTGGAGTTGGAAGTAAATCTGACGTTGGTGTTATGGACGGAAATAACACCAAGCTGGTTCTGCATGGCAAGTCCCAACATGGGTTGGACTTGCTGCATGTTTTGATTTGTTGACCGCCCTTAGGGGCATCTGGAGGCAGGGGAGATTTTGGTACAACTGCTTTGGAGGAGTTTGGTATGTCTGGCAATCTTGATTGCATCTGAGTTTGGCGATTTGCATCACGTTTGGTCTGGCGATTTGAATCGCATTTGCATAAGTCTGGCAATTCTGATTGCATCTGAGTTTGGCGATTTGCATCGCGTTTGAGTTTGGCGATTTGTATCGTGTTTGGGTTTGGTGATTTCGATCACATCTGGTACATCTGGCAACTTTGGTTGCGTCTGGGTACATTTGGCAACTTTGGTTGCGTTTGGTACATCTGGTATTTGAGAGAGAATTCAAGTCAAGGTGGAGATTGTTAGAATATGACTTGAATTTGATGATTTGGGTTTGTTTTGTGTTTGGGCCTATTTAGTTTGGGTTTGTGTTTGGGCTTTGTTTGACCTTTTCCTTGTATGTTTGGGAAAAGGTGTTTGGTTTTCTGTTTGGGATTAGGAGAAGAGTTCTATAAATACTCTTCATCTCCCTAATATGTAGAAAAGGTTAGTCAGGTTAGTTTGTTTGGTTTGTCCGTCTGAAATTTGGTTTGTAACCTGTACTCTCCTCAAATCAGTGAAATTTGTTCTCCCCTGCACGTGGATTAGCTAGCACACATTGTGTTAGTGAACCACGTTAAATTTGTGTTCGTTCGTGTTGGTTTGGATTATCGATTGCACGCTTCTGTTCTGACAAGCATAAATTTGCGCACTAATGAAATGATGTACGCTACTAATTAACTTATTGATATTAGAGTATGTGTAATACGCGAGTAGTATTATGTTATACTACGAGTACTGTTATGTAATTGGTCAGAGTTATATTCCTTATAAGAGTCGTAGTAGTTAGGTAATTTTCGTATTAGTTTTAGGGTTATTATAGAAGCCAGTCTTTGTACTCTATATAAACCCTAGCTACGTGGTTCCAGTAATAATACACAACAGTTTACACTGCACGTATTCTGATTTCTCAACAATTGATGCAAGTTCGAACCAGATTGAGCCGGTCTGCCAAACTGGTCAGGTTCAGGTAGGTTCGTGTACACATAGGCGGAGGCAGGCCCTTTGAGCCTTGTCCCTGGACAAGGGTAAATTTTGGAGGAACAAAAGTACACCATATATATTATATTGGTGATGGAATACAACACCTATAGATAGTATTAGAGTATTTTGTCACCCCAACTCATTACTTGTTCGAAAATTGAGACAAAATTAATTTATTATACTATAAACGAAATTTCAATTGCAATAAAGACCCAATCGGATATCTTTTATCCTTATGTCTATTCGATCTTTTTCCCAAACAACCCTGAAATTGTCGACAATTTCACTAGTTTTAATTCTACTAATTACAGCTGCAAGTGTAAAAATAGCATTTTCAGCTTTGAGTTATATTAAGAACAAATTTCCAAGTCGATTTGGCGACCAGTTTGCTAATACTTGTTTAGTGAGATAAATTGAAATATACTTAGTTAATAGTGTAGACAAAGAATGTTTTTGCGGTTCTTTCACAATATGAAATCCTTTCGTAGTTGTTTATGAAAACAATAATTACATGGTCGACTATTTTTAATCTATGAATGAATTATAATTTAAATATAATTATTTTTATTAAATAATTCATTATTAAATACTTCTATATTTAGGCCCCGTTTAGTATTGTTGTCTGTTTTTGTTTCCTGTTGTGTTTTTAAAGATTGGAGAAACCAAGAAAAAAAAACATGTTTAGTTGGGTTTCTATTTTCTGTTGCGAATCAGAGTTGCACAACAAGGCCCAAATATGAGAAACAACAATTTATTGCTTTGGATATGATTTTAAAACATGTTGCACACGGGATTCCTACTGGTTGGGCACTTGATTTCATTAAACCAGACCAGTTTTCGAATCCCCACAGAAGCAAAAATTTTTTTTTTTTTTTTAACACAGCCGCCACCCCCCAAACCCTACTTCTAACATATCAGCCGCCGCCCCCCAAACTATTCTCCCCCTAAACCCTTCTCAACAGAGGCGTCACCGGCCACCCTTCTCAACAAGGCGCCACCTCCGCCTCACCTCCGCCACCTCCTCAGTCGCCGACCCCTCCGCCTCCGCGCCCGACCCCTCTACCTCCGTGCCGATCCAGCCTGCCGCGCAGCCCGAACCCTCCGCCGCGCAGCCAGCCCAGCCCGCCGACCCGCCGCCGACGTCCGCTTGCCGACCCCTCCGCCTCCGCCCTGACCCAGCCCGCCGCGCAGCCCGACCCCTCCGCCGCGCAGCCAGCCCAGCCCGCCGACCCGCGTTTTTGTAGTAACTAAACGCGTTTTTGTTTCTTGTTTTCAGCTTTAATGATTTTTCAGATTTATCAACTAAACAGGTTTGTGTTTTCTGTTTTTTTCCTGTTGTGGTTGTACATCTGTTTACACAACACCACTGCAACCACAACAACAACAAAATGATACTAAACGGACCCTTACATTATGGAAAGAGAATATGGGTGGTTTGAAATGCTGCCTCCGGCACTGCATGTACAGCTGTTTGAACCTATGTTATTTAGGTTAATGTATATACAACCGGATAACCAAATTGGAAACTATTATAGAATAAACTTGAATCCTGATTTCCTTTCTTTTTTCTTTCAACTCCCCTGACAAAGTAATAAATCTTAATGAGGGTCGGGGCTAAAGTTCAAAATTTACGAAAATTGAATCGTGGTAATTGGAAAGGGGCTAAAATCCTACCAATTACTCTATTTTTTTTAAATTTATTATAAATTTTAAATATAATTTTATCGACATATAAAGGTTGAGGGGGCTATAGCCCTTACCACCAACATGGCTCTACTATAGGCTCCTCTCTCTATCTTCCTCTAAACTATCTTTAGTTCTTCTCCGGATCCCTTGAATGTTTTTCTTATATCAATCGTACATCAAATTGGTATGAGAGTGTGATTGAGTTTCGAACAACTCATTCGATTGTAAACCCAAACATAAACAAACGGTGGAGCTTTTCGCATACATGATCATGGTCGTAGCCTCTGTCGTTTTCGCACTACCTCACTATCGGTTGGGACATTTGGATGTTGAGTCTAATTACGTGTCTACCTTCTGCTCCAAACTGTTGCCACAACCATCCCTCAAGGCCAACGACGAATCCAAGACATAGTAGAGCTATGGGTTGCACTTCATTAGAAAATTAGATACCAATGCTCTTTTAATTTAGCAAATTCATGAATAATGTAGTCTTCATCTATATTAATAGAATACTCTCTTTCAAATAAAATAGTTAAGCAATCAGCGAGAAATTCATCACTTTTTTTTTTGCGCAAATCAGTTTCACATGTTTCATTCTTGAAAAGGTTCTCTCCGTAGTAGCTGTTGTAATGGGCAATGTCAACACTAGACGAATAAACTGACTAATCAATTTGTATTATGTGTCCATCCCTATTTCCACCCACTTATCTAGTAATTTTTCAAGGGAACAAACCTCATATTTCTTTTAGTCTTTTACGTTTTAGACTTTTAGGTTTCATTATTTTTTCAAGCGAAAATCATTGAGACTAGAATTTCTAGGCTAAATTTAGAGTAGTGATTTGAATATGTTCATCTGACCCATTTTCATAGTTACAAACAATCTTACTATAAAGTAATATTTGGCATAATGTCTAAAATCAAACAATTCATAAGTGTTATACGAGCTCCGGGCCCATCCGGGAACTGGGCCATATGACCCGTGGTGGCCATCCCCTATATCCGCCACTGCTTAAGGCACTGTTGTCTGTGATCCATGTGAAATAAACATTTTGGACACACTCATCTCACCCGAGTCATTGTGCAATAAACTTTTTGGCCTCAATAACTCGAGTTCTTGAGAGAAGGTTAATCATGGATCTTATATCACTCTCTCATAAGCCTCTCAAACAAAAGAAAACTCACAGACTGAATTTAACGCAAGCCCACCATAATTTGTGTTTAAATCAACTTTTAATAATAAGCGTCATGGAGACTTGAAAACACACAATCACTCGGCCTAACCAGATCAACTATGGTACCGTGTCATAAATTGTTTGATCCCAATTACTTTAACTATTGAGGTAAAGTTAATTTAGATTTTATATCACTTTAATACCTATTAATGAAGGTCTTTCAGCCACTTCCCACATGCAATTTTGAACTCATCAGCTTAGCGAGGTCGAAACATTACGCTAGTCGACACCCACAATTTTATAAATGAGGGGCTAACATCTTGCTTGTAATTAGGCGACAGTCTGATAGAGCCATTTATAATATGGAGTGTTATCTTACAATCCAAATATCACAATTCACATCAACACAAACAATGACAATGAATCTTGTATATAAGTGTTATCCAAACTATATTAGGAAGAGAATTTTTATTTTATTTCGTATGGCCTGAACTTTGACCAAAATAAACATCCTGGCCAATCTTTTCGATTTATAACATCTTGGCCCAAACTATACACCAAAATAAACAATTTGGCCAGATCCGACTTTTGACCGTTAACTTTGATAGTCAACGCGCCATTTCACTGCCAAGTCAGCATAAATATTTAAAATAATTCACAATTTCCACACATTCCCTAATTTTAAATTATTATAAATTAAAAAAAATCATCTAATACCTTAGTTAAACCAAAAATAAAAAACGAAAAAATTAAATATTTATCAGATCTTCTGACTTGGCAGTGACGTGGCGCGTTGATTGTTAGTCAACGCGTTTGACCGTCCAAGTTAACGGTCAAACATCGGATTTGGCCAAATTGTTTATTTTGGTGTATAGTTCGGGCCAGGATGTTATAGATCGAAAAGATTGGCAAGGATGTTTATTTTGGTCAAAGTTCAGGCCATACGAAAATATTAACCCTTTTTTTATGAATCGGTGGGTTCTTATTCATAAAAAAAGGGGGTGCTAGCTACAACCTTGTTAGCTAGGTGAGATTCCAACCACGAGGCTAGTGACAATCTGTCAAGTTACAGTTCTACTCAAGAGCTACTGACACAGAAAGTAAAAATTTACACGACCCAGAATGGACTAACTCGTTGATAACTCAGCACACATTCAACTTCAGCTTTAATTGTCTTCAACAGTGTGCAACAATCTCGATTCTCAGCTGAGTACAAGCGATGACATCTTTCCCTCCAAATATGGCTCACCCATGCCTGCCAGATGATCCTCCCTGTTTCAGCAGCCTCTGTCATGATACCAACCTTTGAAATCATCAGAATAAGTTCGTCTTCTCATCCCTGTGACGTAGGGATCTGCATAAATCTGCAAAAAAGAGACTAAAAAATCTGTCTAGAGAACAGACAATGGACATAGATATGATCTCTGTCTTCAACCCCTGCATCACACAGACAACATGCCATATTTCCCCCAAATCCCCACTTTTGCATCTTAACCTTTGTGTTTATGCTACCTCTTATAACAAGCCAGGTGATAACACGGTTTTGAGGAATAGCCTTGCCTTTCCAAACAAGTTTCCACCAGTCTACAGTCTGATGAACATGTCGTAGAAGATACCAAACCCGCTTGATAGAGTATGAAGGCATTGGGCTTTGTTCATGAGAAGAAGCCCCCCCTGATTGAAATGAGAGCTTCAACTTTCTCCCTCAACTTCAGTAACTTGTGCCAGTTCCAGGACCCAGATGTGCAAGTGTATCTCCAAAAATCTTTGCCCTTCAGCTTGTACCTGTTTATCCAAGCAACCCAAAGTGAGCCTTCTTTTAGGAGTTCAGCCATATATGCCTAGTCATGCAGGCCTGGTTCCAACTCCACAGATCCCTAAACCCAAGGCCTCCTTTTTTCGGGTAAGTAAGCTTCTGCCACACCACATTAGCTCTGAGCTTCAATCCCTCTCCAACTCCCCATATGAAGTTGCTACAGATTCTTTCCACCTCCTTAATAACAGATTTAGGTAATAGAAAAACTGACATCCAGAATTGAGTTAGGCTGTAAAAGACTTTCCCAACTAGCTCAATGTTGCCTTCATACGAGAGAGCTTTAGCCTGCCAACTTTTAACTTTAGCAACCATTTTGTCAATGAGAGGTTGACAAGCAGCCAGACTGAGTTTCCCTGAAATCAGAGGAACCCCTAGGTATCGGACAAGAAATTCACCTAGTTGATATCCATATCTGGCAGCTCTAACTTGTCTCTCAACTGTTTCAAGTCCGCCAAAGAAGACTTCACACTTGCTAGGGTTTGATTTCAGGCCAGAAACCTTCTTAAATTGAGCTAGAATTCTCTGCAAATCTTGAATTCCAAAATTTGAGCCATCCGAGAAGACCAAAAGGTCATCCGCAAAGCATAAATGGGTTAACTGTATGCCCTTACACATAGGATGATATGGGCACAAACCCCTAGCAGCTGATTGATCAATCAAACGCGAAAAAACCTCCATTGCTATAGAGAATAGATAGGAAGAGACTTTTTGGGAAAGAATCCAAAATTAAATATGTGCGGACTTGAGCATTCGTGATTAACAAGGGATGTCAGAGTATGGTGTGGGAGTTCGAATCCAGGTGGTGAACATTATTAGTTTGATGAACCCTCATTTTGTGACCTCATGATTTGATATCTGCATTTGTCTGGCGGATCTAAAGCAGATTTGCATCTGCAGGTAAATCCCTGTGTTGAAGAGAACGTCGATATAAGGTATCTGGCATATATAGATAATCACGAAGGAGAAGACATGAAACTCGTGATTCTTGTATTGAGAGGAGGATCATTATGGTAAAATTCAAGTACCTCATTGAGCGTACAGGGTAAGGACCCTTGTATATAAGTGTCCATCAATCTTAATTAGCAGGAGGCGTTTTGTCAAAAAATCCAAAAATAAATCTGTGCGAGTTTAACTTGAAGAGAATAATATCTTGCTAATGAAGCATCCGATCTCGACTCAGAGAATGATCGGCTTCTCTAATCAACCATCAACAATAGGAGAAAATCTTGAATCCGTGGGCGGATCATATTCATCTTTAAACCAGGCTAATTATACGGAAGTATGAATCGAACCCAGTTTATTAATTTACATTGTATATTTAAGCACTCTCCCACCATGTCTTTATTTAGCTTCAACGACATTGATGTGTGTGATATCAATTGCATGGATGCAGGTAATGAGACTTGTGGAGAACAGAGACGTTGGAGGAGCGCCCCCAGGTTCCCAACCCGGAACCGGCTAGATCGATAATATCTGGGCGATGACCCTTAAATAATTTATTTCCTTCTGATAAGGTTGTCAAACTGGTTTATACCGTTGTGCCGGTTTGGCAAGTGGAATGGTACGACCGGTGGTATAACCAGTTTGTGTCTGTTCATGCCGGTTTAAAAAAATGTGAAAACAATTAATATCCAATGTATTTAAACATATTTGTGGACAATTGAGTTACAACCCAACAAATATCATCAACTTTTAACTATTACATTCATAAAATGAATAATAAATTAATTTTTGTATTCATTAAATTCATTAAAATGATGTCATTTTACTTAGAATAAGTAAATCGGTCATACCGGTGATGTCATGCCGGTTTCATGACCAGCACAGGTTGAACCAGGTTCAACCGGGTGGCATGCCACCGGCATGACAACCATGCTTCTGAATATTATTTACTTCTCCTCGAACTTCCGAAATAAATTCGATCTAACATATACATAAGTGTAATTTATAGTTTGATTAGCAGAGTTACAATTTAATTTTATTTTTCTGAGTCATGAATCATATGGTAAGCAGAAATTGAAAAGTGGCAAAATAAGTAGGTTGTCAACTCCACTATAAAAGACTCATCAGAGTTTAATTTCATGAGGCTATTGTTATTTTTTTTATTTCTAGCATACCTTTCTTTAGATCCGACTTTAACATTGAGCACTATCCGGATTACAAAATTAATCGAAATTTATAAATACAATACCTAACATTTGATAGCTAAACTCTTACTCTAATTGTTTAAGCTCTAAGGTTTAGTTATCTTCCACTTCAGTTTTAACTTTTAACCACTTGTTTTCCCGGCGAGGAAAAACTTGTGTTTGATTTCAATCAATGCACGTTTGACTTCTTGAACAACGACAATAACACGGTTCATTCCTTCCGAACAATGTTCGAACGAGGGTGTTTGATGTTTTTGATGGCTGATAAAACTAAGTTAAATTACTTCTACTCCTATGGAGGTTCAGTGAGAGCTCCAAAAACTAAAAGGTACAACTATGGCTACATTGCAGAGAAAAGATAAGTTTGACATGTGTTGTCAAATGTTTGGTTGTGGAATCCTTTTTCCGTCTTCGTTTCTCCTATTTATAGCCACTAGGAGTAAACTGCCTTGGTAACTGCTAGCAGGCTTGTTGCTCCAACCGCCTTAGGGACCTCTTTTCGTTGCCTTGGTGGCCAATTGGTAACCGTTGTCTTGGTCTTCACCTCCATTCAGTGGCGGACCCAGAAATTTTACATAGGAGTGTCCTCTTTTAAAAATTAAATATAAATAATTCTAAAATAATTAATAAATAAGAAATAATATTTAAATAAGAAATACCTTACTCATACAGTTTGAAAAAATTCACAATGTGTTTTCAAATTAAAAAATGATTGTAGAACACACTTGGGGTCTAACTATTCAAAAAAAATTGTCTCTGTATATCATATTAGACAATCATTCACGAACTGATCTCATATTCAATTTCTAAACTTGTTCTTGATGTAATCCAAAGCTGAAAAGACTCTTTCAATACTTGTTGTACAACCATAAATCAATACAAATTAAGGGTAGCTTGAAATTTGTTTAATTGTTAGATTTTGAAAATAATTAGAGATAGAGAATGACATTATACTATTACACAGTGTTTAAAATCGAATAACATATGAGTTGTAGCCTAATGAAACTTATGTTTATTAATAATAAAGGTGTCCTAGGTTTGAATTACCCAAATTACGACTTATATTCTCATACTCAAACTAAAAGATGAGAGTAGGATAATCATTTTTTAAAATTTAGGGGTGTCCCCGACTATCAATTATAATTTTTTTGTCAATACGTAAATTACTACCGGGAGTTGGATAATCATTTTTCCAAAATTTAGGGGTGTCCGGGGACACCCGTAAACAGCCGTGGGTCCGCCCCTGCCTCCATTGCCTTGGAGCTCCTTGACCCGTCTTGTTGACTGGTTGGTATTTGATGCCCTCGACGCCCAACCGAATTGGTGTTGGTCTTGTCACCTTGTCTTGACTGGATGAGGTTGAAGCCCTCAACCTTGCCTCCGTGATGAAGTCTCGACCACACCCTTGGCAGCTTGATGACTCCCCATTCTTGTCGTCTTGAGACCGCTACCACCTCATGACACCAATACCACCTCATGACACCAAGTCCTCCTCATTAACTTGTTGGTTGTTACCAAGGCGTCTCATCGGCTTGATACCTTCTGGCATGCCACCAAGCCCATGTAATCAACTTGACACCCCTTGACTCACTCATACTGTCACTCGAGAAAATGGCCAAGTGTAACCACTTCCTAAAGCGTAGTATAGCGGGTTTGGGTTTTATTGTCAACCCGGGTCCTAGATGTGATGACTACTCAGTGAATTCTTATTATTTAGCGGTGAAACTTTAGTGCAGGTTCAAACAAGCAAAGCAAGCAAAAAGGTTGTTTTCAAGTCGAGAGAGTTCACCAGGATATGGTTCCCCCTAGACTGCAGTTAAGCCGGATTGTAATTTACCAAGTTCAATTTTAATGATAGCTATACTGCGGGAGGTTCTTAAACAGTCTGAAGTCTCGAATAAAGGTCTCCAAACCCTCTCAATCTGAGTCCCCAGCAGGCGACTAACCTCCACCGGAGTAAACAGATTGAGGCCCTAACGAACCAAACCTCCACTACCGAAGTAAATTCGGTACAGAATAGTGAATTGGCTCCTCGACTAAAGTCGCCAATTCACCACCTTCAATCAAGGGTGCTCTATCAACCTAGGCAGATATTCTCTTTCTAGGTCAAAGCAGAAATAACAGGAATTTGATCAGGATTCATGCCATTCAACAATTCAAACCTCAATTGAATATAATCAAATCATAGAATCTGTACTTGGGTTCATACAATCAAACCTAACATACAAATCTAGGGTTCTCCATACCCAGATGAATGAGGAAGTTACTCCATGGAGAGAGAAGCAAAAGCAAGCTCAGATGCAGAAATCATGCTGTGAAGGATGGGTTTCTGCTCCTGGTCGTCAATCGGCACTTCTCCAAGTGTGAGCGAGCTCCAATGGTGATGAAGATCAAGCTAGGGCACTTCGGAACTCTGGTTCGTCGCTTTCTCTCTCTAGGAATCGCTTTCTTTCTCTAAAACTCGGAACCCCTAGACTTTTGGCCTTCTTTTCCCTTAAGAAGCTGTCTGTCGCGATCCCCGGTCGGGTATTTTGGGTGGCGACTGGGTATGTTCGAAACGCACCGTTGGGTAACAGGGGAAAATCCCCGGTCATGGCCAAGAATCCCCGACCGGGGATTTCTGCTTCCTGCCCGGGCCCCCTTCTGCTTCTCAAAGACCCCCGAAGCGTCAAATCCCCGGTCATCTACAAATAATACCCAGCCGGGTATTTCTGCTCATGGCCGGGTATTTTGCTCCTCCAGCACACTTCACCCCGAACGTGCTCCTTTCGACCCGAAACTCGTTTCTTCGCCTCGAAATATGACATAAACGCTAAGCCCTGAAATATGACATAAACGCACAACCTAGCATGAAATCGGCTTAAAATATGAGAATCAACATCTCAAACGGCTCAAGAATAGGGGTAAAAACATGTGTAATCAATGGTCTATCACCCCCTTGCTACCAAGCCAGCCCTGGTGGCTTGGTCTCCATACTTAGTTTCTTGGTAGCCAATTGGTAATCGTTGTCTTGGTCTTCACCTCCATTGCCTTGGAGCTCCTTGACCCGTCTTGTTGACTGGTTGGTATTTGAAGCCCTCGACGCCCAACCGAATTTGTGTTGGTCTTGTCGCCTTGTCTTGACTGGATGAGGTTGAAGCCCTCAATCTTGCCTCCATGATGAAGTCTCGACCACACCCTTGGCAGCTTGATGACTCCCCACTCTTGTCGTCTTGAGACCGCTACCACCTCATGACACCAATACCACCTCATGACACCAAGTCCTCCTCATTAACTTGTTGGTTGTTACCAAACCGTCTCATCGCTTGATACCTTCTGGCATGCCACCAAGCCCATGTAATCAACTTGACACCCCTTGCTACCAAGCCAGCCCCAGTGGCTTGGCTTGGTCTCCTCTTGCCGCCCCCGTTGGCTTCATACTTGGCCAAATTCCATGTCTTAGCACCAAGCCTGCCTTGTCGGCTTGGTACCTCTTTTGGCTCCATACTTAGCCAAATTTCATGTATTTTGGTATCTGCCTTATCTACTTGCCCCCTATTGCTATGACTGGTATGGCATTTGGTCGGCTTGATACCCTCTTGTTTGGCCCCCCCTTATTTGGTACCAAGCTTGGTACCCGGTCGTTTGGCACCCCATTGTGTCTGTTACCTTATTTCCAGACTTAGTTTTTTGGATGACCTCCTATTTGGTATCCGGCCGTTTGGCACCCCGTTGTGTCGCCTTGTTTCCAAGACTTAGTTTTTGGATGGCCTCCTATTTGATACCCGGCCGTTTGGCACCCCGTTGTGTCGCCTTGTTTCCAAGACTTAGTTTTTGTAGGCCACATTTCATACTAAGGGGTGGAGGCATCGTCCGGCTATGGGGGCCTCGGAGACGGGTCGGCCATCGTATAAAGGAAAGGGGATTGGCCACTTAGGCCCAAAAATCCAACCCAACTAGATCCAGCTGACTCTTTTAATCATTAATTGTTGAACTGACCTTATAAATCTATTAATGAATGTGGTACATTTATGGGTAAACACCACCCCAACAAATAATACGATTTGTAATTTAGAATCGTGTGGTCAAGCAATCCGCGTAACTAATTAGTTTGGTTTGACTAGTCAAAATGGTGCTTAAATGATGTACGGGCTGGACTAGTTGAAATAAATAAAAAAAGGAACCAACCTCTTTTTGTTTGGGTTTAATCTTATGTGTCGTGACTTGTGTGTATCTGTACATTTGTATATGCCACTTCCCCTTCCAATGAAAGTCAATGGTGGAAAAATTATTGATCGAAGAAAAAGAAAAACTAACCAATAATAATAAGTCTTTCTTTTTTTGTGGTTAGAATTAAATTATGTGTATTCCAATCACTTGACTACTCTATTTTGATCGAGTTGTCTCGACTCATATTGAGAAGGTACGGTATTTTATGATTAGTATAGAGCAAAGCACGAGTTTTACTTAATTAGTTTACACATAGTGTGACTCTCATTCTTCGTAATACTTACTTGAATTCTCACATTTTTTTCATCTTGTATAATTTTTTTTTTTTTACCTATGTAAAGGGTTCATTTTGATCTTATGAAATGATGTCCATTTTAGATAATATATGTAAGGAAATGTTTAAGATACATACATGGATATTCCAACAACTCGAGTTATTGAGACCCACGTTAGTTTTAAACATGCATGATACAGAAATAAATTTGTACCTGAGATCACGTGTTCGAGTCCTCACACTTCAAACATTAATCATTAGTTTTAAAACATTTGATATGGGGTGATCCGTGCGAACTTCAAACTCACATGTTAGCCTTTAGTTTGAAGAAATATATAAGAAATGAGGAACTTTATTATTAGTTTATAATAAACCATGCAAATCACATGGCCCATCAATCAACGTACGTGGACCGTCTCACTAGGAACCAAGCACATTATTACAAAACTACAAAAAAAATTATGAATGGGGGGATACCTACTCCCACACTTTCCCCCTCTGCCTCTATATAATTTTAAGGTAACCAATCCATTATTGACCTCCAAACTTCCAAAGAAACCAAAGCAGCAGGCCGGCAGAGACCTTTCCCAAGAAGAAAGAAATGGCGAAGCTAGTTCGAAGTCTCAAGACCGGGTTCCTGAACGTCGTCGGAGCTCTCAAGTGCGGCGGCCGACCAGCCACCGTCGAAGCGCCCATCTCGCCGGCGCCGGCATCTGCGGCCGGTAACTAACTAACCAATTAGTTTGTATCTAATTAATTTGCCAAACCTTTTTTTTTTTTCCTCTTCCTGATTTGGGTTGTGTTTTCGACGTGTAGGGAAGCTTGATGGTGGTGGTGATGAGGTGGTTTATGTGCAAGAAGAAGCTAATAAAGTCCATTTCGTCGGTGGAGCTAAGGAAGATCTTTATGTCGGAGAAGCCGAGTATGAATCCGTCCAGGTAACATACCTATAACTTGATTCTAGCTATAATCTTGGTCGAAACGAATGTAAGATTTCGATTAACCCGAGATAATATATGCTCTCTAATTCGAAGCGTATTTCAGTTGTTCAGTTGCTTTCGAAAGATATATTATTCGAGAAATATGAGAGAGAGATTGGAGAAGACACGCACTTAGATATCATCCTGGATTGAGTTTTCTACTATACTTAAAAGCAGTCTAGCAAATCTCTTTAATTCTCCGGAATTGAAGTTTTATGCCGGCTAATTAATCAACTTGCTAATGATTCATATCTACAATAATTTTGTATTATACTGAGATGTGTGATGTAATACTTGTCTGATTCATTTCTAATTAATCAACTTTCTCTGATTCATTACTACTATACTTAATGTTGCAGGTTCTGAGAATTGTCCAAAACAGAAACGTTGCAGTGCCCAGAGGCTCCAGGCCCGGAACCGGCTAGATATGGCGGTTGACTTTTTTCTGGTTTCTCGTCCAGTTTTTTTTTTTTTTTTTAAATTTAATCCCAAAATAAATTTGAATTGAATCTGAGTCGGGCAGTATAATAAATAGTTTATTTGTAAGTGTATGTAATACTACTAATAGTAAATATGTAGTTTTATTGCATGTTGAGTGTGCATGAATATACCGTATTATTGTATGATTATATCGTTGTAACTTGTAACCCTCCAATTAAGGGTTAATTATCAATAATTGTACGTATAGATCATCACAGCGTACTCGTGATTTGTCAACAATTAAGTAGATTAAGATGAAGGGCAGCCAGTTGTTGACTTTAAATAATGTCTCTGTTGATTTTGAATGAAACCTGAATTATTGGTATTATTACAAATCACGATCGATCCAACTAGAAGATATGCATGTGCCAATCACAATAATGTGGGTGTGAAGTGTTAAATGAAACAAAACTATGTTTAATTATTTTTAAAAAGAACCCAATGTTTTTATTTATTGCACTTAAAATCAATTTCGACTCTGTCCAAGTGCATATTTGTCATTTTATACAAACAAAATTCATATATGAATGCAATTAATAGTTCTATATATATGGACAACGACAACTAGAATGAAAATTCTTTGTTTTATGAAAATTTATCCTTGTTTATTGTTAATGGAGTGGATGGAGTAGCAAGCTTTGCTTTACGTATACAGAACAATATAGAGCACTGGACCGCATTTTATTAAAAACAATGATCATAGTTTTTTTTTACAATGTCAATTGCACACGACGGTCTTTTAATTTAGGGAATGCATCAATAATGGAGTCTACATTCATACCAATGACAATCGAGTGACCCATGTTGTCAATTGAAAAAACCTTTCTTTGTTGCCTGTGAATTGGGCTAGTTTTGATTTTCGGTTGTGGTTTCTCTTTGATTTGTGAATGTTGGCATTTTGATTTCTTGATAATTCAAGTGACCTATTGAAAAAAATGGAGGAGATAGAGTAAACGTTTGGTTTGATATCGATATGACTTTCTTTTTTAGAGAGTTTTTTTTTTTTTTTGGATTAGCAATGATGGCAAGATGAAATTGAGAACACTCCATCAAGTGGATGACGTAAATTATGATTTTCTTTATTAACTTAAAATTTGGTTTGGATAAGATCTTTTATTATTTGAGCTTGTTTCTTTCTTAAATGATTTAAACTGATTTAGAAGGGGAGAAATTTAATTAGTATTTTAATTTCAATTCAAAATTGAGTTTGATTCGCGCTGAAATATTTATCATCCGAAAAGAGGAAAATAGATTATATTTCTTTAAATTTAGTAACGTAGAGCATATTATGATTTGTGTAATGGATTTAAAGAAAATGTTATCATTGAAGGCGTTGAAGTTAATGAAATAAAATATTTCGATGTTGATGATAATACTTAGAGTGGTTAGATTGTTTGAATAAGTGCACAAGTATTGTTCATTTTAGTGTACCCATGATCGCACATTGATGGATCAATGGTGGACCCAGAAATTTTTCATAGGGGTGTTCTCTTTTAAAAAATAAATTAAAAAAATAATTAATAAAAATAAAATCGTAAATATGAAAATACCTTACTCGTACAGGTTAAAAAAGTCCATGATGTGCTTTCATATTCGAAAATAATTGTAGAATACACTTGGTGTTTATAGTGTTAAAAAAAATTCTCCATATACCCTACTAGACAATCATTCAGGAACTTATCGCATATTCGATTTGTAAACTTGTTCTTGATGTAACCCAAAGCTGAAAGACTCTTCAACACTTGCCGTACAATCATAAAATCAATACAAATTAAGGGTAGATTGAAATTAGTTTAGATTGAAATAATTAGAGATAGGGAATGACTTTTTACTATTACACATTGTTCAAAATCGAACAACAAATGAGTTGTAGCACAACGGAAATTAAGGGTATATTGTTTCCACTGAGGATTTATTTTGAGCAATAAGTTTTTTGGGTTTGTAGTAAAGTGTTTTTAATTAATTTTCTGGACTTCCTATCGAGCTCCCAAGCACTTCAATGTGTAGAGGGACACTCCAACTTTAAAACAAACCATTAATCTCCAATTTCCATCGAGCCAATTGTAATATATGAATCTCAAAAGTAGGCACCATGAAACTGTTTTTACACTGCAGGTCGACCTAATCCTCATTAAGGTCGACCTCATATAGGATAGGTCGACCTCGTATAGGATTAGGTCGACCTAATCTGTCATTTCAGTCTTGTGCTAAAAGGCAGCTTATTTCGTAGCAACTTCGAGCATTTTGTTTGAAGCCTTCCAGATATCCAATATTTCATCCAATGTCTTGACTTTGTAGACAAACATACCTAATTTCATGTGGTAGAGGCCCCTGGACTCGAATCTCATCCATGCTTCTCGAATTGAGCTCCAAAGTAGGCTTCACAAACACTTTCCCAGACTTGGCCATTTTCAGGCAGTTTCCCAGTTTTGACATAGCCTTTTGATCAGGTTCAAAAATGGTCTTGGGGACTTCCTATCGAGCTCCTAAGCACTTCCATGTGTAGAGGGACACTCCAAATTCAAAACAAGCCATTAATCTCCAATTTTCATCGAGCCAATTTTAAGATATGAATCTCCAAAGTAGGCATCATGAAACTATTTTTACACTGAAACAACATATTAGGCCGACTGATGCATTTGTGCAGATCGGGCAGCGGTGGGTAGAGCCGGTCTACCCATTATTATAATTATCTGGATATTCTTTTGGTTTATTGGTTTATTGTCGGATTATTATTCTTATTTAGTCGGTAATTCTAGTAAGAGTTGGACTAGGTTAGGGTTACCATGTTTAAGGAGAATTAGGTTTATGGAAGTCCTCCTATAAATATGTACTTAACCTTGCGTTTTATTTATCGAAGAAGAATAAACCCCAGTATTTTCAGTTTCTTTTAGTTTTCGTGTTTCCAGTTCCCGACGCGTGAGGCTGTCACACGTCAATTGGTATCAGACCCCGGTTTCGACAAAGAACCGGGACGACGATGCCTCCCAAGAAGAACACCACCGCCTCGCAGGACGCGGGCGATGACGACGGCAGTAGCCAGGCGGGCCGGGAGCTGGCGGAGATGAGGGCGAGAGCCGAGGCTCTTGATCACCGCCTCCACGCGACTGAGGAGGAGCTCGGCCTTATCAAGAGCACGATCGGGAATCTGGAGAGGGCCAGACGGCGCTGCAGGTTGGTGTGGAGGAAATCCGGAACGATACTCAGGCAGGGTATGGAACCTTGGGCGACGGCAAGCCGAGGCCGACACGAAGCTGGATCACATCAGCCGCGGCCAGGACGAGCTCCGTGCAACGATCGCGCAGCTCAAGGAGATGATTGCAGGGCTGGGGAGTCGTGAGCCGGCTCGTCGAACCATTGATCAGATCCCGGCAGGCGATAAGCTCAAGGGAACGGTGATAGAGTCTGAAGAAAAGAGGGGAGACTCGTCCCCGCTGCCGGTGACCCCGCAAACCACGCCAAATCAAGGGGCTCGGGATGGCGAGTTGCTGAAGACAAGGGATCATGCGATCCAGGCCCTAGACGACGCATGGGGAAGCTTGGCAATCGATGCGGGTGATTACCGGCCGCCGCCAACGTCGGGGCTACCGACAGGCATGGGTGGGGAGGCAACACGAGACGCAGGAGGATCGGGGACGGGGATGAGCGGCACGGGACCTCGCCGATCGGAGCAAGAAGGGCCGAGGGAGCTCGGCGGGGCCTGCGGGTCGGGTACGGTAGGAGGAGACCGGGCCAGGGGCTGGGTCCGTGCGAAGGCGGGTCGAACCGCGAGGCCAAGAAGCCAGGGGTAGCTGACTGGGGCGAGTCGAGCAAACCGAACCGGGGAGCTGTGGGCCCAGGGCGATCGGAGGTAAGGGCTCTGTTCAAGGGCCGGCAGGCTACCATTGAGTTCCTGCGATTCACTGGGCATGAAGATTCGTCTGGAGAGGACGAGGTTGAGCTGCAGCCTCGGGACGAGGCTTTCGAAAGGAGGGAGGATTGATGCATTTGTGCGGATCGGGCAGCGGTGGGTAGAGCCGTTCTACCCATTATTATAATTATCTGGATATTCTTTCGGTTTATTGTCGGATTAGTATTCGAATTATTATTCTTATCTAGTCGGTAATTCTAGTAAGAGTTGGACTAGCTTAGGATTACCATGTTTAAGGAGAATTAGGTTTATGGAAGCCCTCCTATAAATGTGTACTTAACCTTGCGTTTTATTTATCGAAGAAGAATAAACCACAGTATTTTCAGTTTCTTTTAGTTTTCGTGTTTCTAGTTCCCGACGCGTGAGGCTGTCACTCGTCATCGACCTAATCCTAATTGAGGTCAACCGAAAAGTGCAAGTTACGATGACATGCATATCACACACTTAATCTTATCTCGATGAAGTTCAATAATTTGTTGTTTTTCATTGTTGATAAACCTTAATTATTCCTAGAGTCGTTGATTATTAATTTTTCTTTTGTCCCATGAAGAATTTTTCTTTCCTGTTTGTTGCAAAATGATTAGTTTCTTTTTCATCGCCAACAGAGTTAATACATGATATTGATCCCATTAGATGTTGGAAAGGAGAAGGGCCGAGTAAACGAAATTAATAAAATTAAAAGGGTTTGCTTACTTAATAGTTTTCCGCCGAAGAGCTACGTTGAAAACAGAAGGGGCTATAGTCATGCTCAAATTTGAAATATAGCTAAAATTATATGTAATATTCGTGATCAATTTAGAAGATAGACTAGTCAATATTCGATAAGACAGTAGTCCCTCTCCCCTAATTATCATGATTAAAGTTAGTCTCCCTAATTATTATGATTAAACTATGATCGACTATCAAGTCATCAAGATTCTTTGTCAAGGTTGTGGAGGTGAATTTTCTCATCTAATACAAGTTCTATTTACCTTTCTCATATTATCAAAAAAGACAATGGGTTCAAAAAGATATATTTTCCCACGTTTTACATTATATTAGGTTGTAATCATCTTTGTAACTAAAGTTGGCAGGTTTATAACACGACATATCAAACTCAATCACGTTTACATTATATTAGATTGTAATCATCTTTGTAACTAAAGTTGGCAGGTTTATAACACGACATATCAAACTCAATCACGTACGCAGTTTGAGGAATAATCCACCATCACATAAAAAATCGTTGGAATTTCAAGCATACTTGCATCACATAGTTCATTGCTTACCGCTTGTCGATTTTACATATGTGTGTTCTTTCTACCAAATGGTAGTTTACTTATGTTTGGTCAAAGTTAAAGTTAAGTCAAATCCTTTTACATAATGCTTGCTCTTCGAAATGGTAGTTTACTTATTTTTTGGTCAAAGCAAATA